CAATGCACATCTTTGAACAAAGGCATCCCACTTTTCATCTGGCTTTTCTGGCTCCGACAAGTTGGCATCCTCATCATCAGTGTGGGTCTCAATGTTGGTACCCTCAGCCGGGTCCTGCATGAAATGGAAGTTCGCTTGTGAGAAACAATCATGCAAATCTAAATTAAACATACCTCGGCATACTCGGGTGACCAGAACTTCCGCTTCCTGCCTGGGAGAGGCTGTTTTGGTGGCTTGGACTGGTGGGGTTAAATGAAAAGTGTGGTCATAGTAAGAGAAAACTTACTGGCACTCTGGCGACTGGAGCATCTCCAGGCTCGTCATCCACAAATATAAGTGGCAGTACCTTTGGTACCTTTTGCTGGATGGGCAAATACAATTAGCATGGGAATGAAGCGGCCGAGATGTACCCACCTTCAGGCTCTTCTTCTTGCCTTGGCTGGCCTGTTCATGTTAGGGGTGGTGTCGCGTGTCATGCTAGCATCGGCTCGCAATTTGTTTCTGTGTGGGGTTAGGTGATGCATGTACACTATGGGCATTGGGTTGGAGTTTGAACCTTATTGTAGAGATAGTAATCATCCTGCTCTTCCATTAAATTTGGAGGCACACAAAAAGATGTTTGACATACTGTTATCCCCCGTGAGAAGAGACAGCCAAATTCTTGGATTTTCTTAAATATTTTTGTGTGAAGCTGGTCCCTCAAGATTTGGGGTGGAGATTCTGTGATACATAAAATATGGTGTAAAAAAGTTTCAACCAATTGGAATGAGTCTGGAATGCACAATGCATGAATCAGTGGTTTTGACCTGTCTTGACCTGACCACTGCCAGTCTGTACAGACACAATAACAGTTAATAACCCTGATATCGGAGTCAAGTCCTAATTTGGCAACTGTGATAGCTCACACCTGTGGCTCACACCACTATTGTTGTTGACTCCCTCCACATTGTTCCCTCCCTCTCTTGCTCTTGCTCCAAGCTGTCCCCTTCCTCAACGCTCCCCAGATAAATCACAGATAGGAAAATTAAGGTAATTATGATAGCTCATTTCTATACAACTAGCTAATCCTTGTCCTCAGATGTTTCCAACCTGTCCAAGTCATATTCCTCTCCATCACCTGCACCATCACCTGCACCACCACCCTCATCCCTTGAAGACCCACTAGAGAAGAACATCTTACGTGAGGGCTTGGACAGCATGTAGGAGGTGAGATCGGAGGCCAGTAGGCTTTGGTAAGCAACACTTCCTCTTTTCCATCTTGGCTGCCGCCTTCTCGGACTCATACCTCGTGACTTTAGCATTCCAGTCTGCTCGCACCTGCTCATTGTGCTGGTCCCTCTTCCGACTTTCCTCCTGCCATGCTGCTACAGCCTCGTCATAGGCTGTCTGTGCCTCTGTCCGCTGCTCCTTCGCTGTTTCATCTGCCGCAACTTAAAGTCCATGGGCTTGAACCAGTGCAAAGAACTCATCATCGGTGAGTAACCTTGGCATACCATCCCCCATTATCTGAATTTGCTTAACTCCCTTCTTCTCCCTCTCAGCTAACTGCTGTTGCACCCGCTTGCAATACCAACTCTGGATCATGATCATTGCACGCTTGGCTTCTCGGCCTTGCTGCTCCTGCTTCATCCAGTTCTGAAGTGCCAAGATTGCGTCAGCCAGGACCCCTTCATTGGCTGTTTCTGGAACAAATCCTTGCAGGACATCAGTTGAAGCAGTGTTAAGAGGGGGTAGAGTGAACTCTGGAAAGTGAGAGGTTGACTGAATGGGCTCAGTCCCTGCTAGGAAAGATGCCGATTTGGACTGATTCAACGCCTCATAAACTTGTTGTACACTCAAGACCAAATCCACCTTGTCTTCTTTGTCATCAAGTCTGGTCTGCGGTGAGTCCGGGAACTTCAAGTGATGAAAGATCTGGCTAATCTGTCAAACAGGTGTTGGGTGGTTAACTGGCATCGCAGCTGAAGCTACGGTTGCGCGACTAGGCGCTAGCTTATCTTTGGAGATTGCATAAGGGTTGAAGCCCATCACCCTGAATGCAGACTGGATGGTTGCTGTTGTGAGAGCTCGTGTCCATGCATGACCAAGGATGGTGAGAAAGTTATCCTTTGTCACCTTGCCTGGTGTGTTGTCGTGTTCTCAAGCTGAGCAAAGACGACAACATCCAACCCTTGGTATACATGAGTTGAGTGAGTGGGGTAGCAGAGGACGTGAATGTTGGCCTGTCGAGCATGTGCAATGAAGCCCTTGGTGTAGTGTGAGTTGTGTCCGTCAACGAGAAGAAGCCTTGCGTGTCTGTTGGTTTTCTCTTTTGTAAATTCATCAAACTGCTGGATCCATGCCTTCCCTACTTCACCGTTGATCCACCCCTTCTTTGAGTAGCCAACTCTAGGTAAAGGTTAGAGTTTTTGTGCGGGGCTTGAGCATGAGACTTACGATGCGTGCAGGGGGTTGTTCTTGTTCCATGATACCTGATGTCCTTGTCCTTAAAGATGACAGCTGGAGGCAGCAATGTTCCATCTGCACATATGGTGGCTATGACTGTGATTGTTTCTCGCTTGCCAGCTTGCTGCTGATAGACTCCACCAGCTCCACAAATGCCAATAGCGCATGCACAACCGGACAGTGCAGGGTTAAACCCTACCTTGTCAGAACCGTAGATGAGTTTCTTAGTGATGTTGTGTTCCCGGATGGTGTTGCCTAAGAGCTCCATCCACACTGCATGTGTAGTCAGATTGACAGCCTGTCCACAAACTGTCTCTAGATTTGGCATCCATGATGTCTGCAGGATGTTGTGTTTACGAAGGAGGAACCGCCTGGTCCAGTTATGACCAACACCCTCAAATGATGGGTCACAAGTACGGATAATGTTGTTGACTATATCCTGAAGCCGTTCATGGGTCCAAGGAAATCCTTAACATGCACATTCTGTGAGTGCATCTAACACGGTAGCTTCTTCCTCTGGCTTGAGATGTGACTGGCTTGCCCTCGTGTCATGTAGACTAGGTACTTCATTGTAGCACTTGCAGACAGTGTTAAAGTTAATAGTTACATGTTCCTTTGTTTCTTGAAGGTGTTCTGTCTCGACTGCTTGACACACACTTCTGTAGCTGACCTTCTTCGGACCAGGGTTCGTGACTCCTTCTCGGTACTTCTCTACTGCTCTTAGCACCAGCCTCTCCCTCTTTTCCAACCCCTTTCACTTCTTGAGCTCTTCGGGTTCAGCTTTCCCAACCATAGTTCAAGTAGAAGTTTGTAGGGGATAGAGTAGGGAAGTAGTGTATTCTTGAGGCAGTTCAGCATGGCGTTGACGAAAAAAACCTTGGCACTGGTTGCCAGGTCCAGCGTTCCGTAATTGGCATGACACGGGCACAATCAGCTGAGATAAGCCAAGATAAGCCAAGATAAGATAATTTTTTCACATGCATTGTATGATTTGGGCACTCCTCCGCATTTTATTTTTCACACTTGCACCAGTAGGGTGATCCTCCTGATCTAACCTTAGTGTACTTCCAGAGAGTGCATAGTCCATGCGTGGTTTTTGTTGCGAGTGTAGCAGTCTATTCAAAGGCTGTAGGGACCACTCAAGTCAGAAAATTTTCAAAAATGGTGTTATTTTCCGGAGTTTGGCTCTTGTAGCAGTCTATCAGGACATCCTTCTGAGCTCTGTATTTGCAAGCACATTCCTTAGTATGTAGACATAATTGTCATAACTTGTACCTGAGAGATATGTGTGACATGGGGGCAGAATAAAATGTTGTATATTCTGGCGGTGGTGTACATTCTCACGGGGGATGACAGTACTTTCCTCTTGACACAAACTCATATTTTATCATGGACTTTGACCCATCCGATAATGTAGGGGAGCTTAACATTGCAGAGGTTTTGCATGCTGCTGGGATAGAAGGATCTGCCAGCAAGGTGAGCCTTGTGTTACCTAACTGCTTTTGTTGAGGGCAGTAACACTGCACTTATTCAGGGCAACATCTCATGCCAGGGTAACCATGAGCTTCAAAATCAGAACACTAACCTGAAAAAGCAAATCAGGGAACTCCAGTGAGTCACTACATTCACGCGCCTGGGACTAACTATATGTGGTCCCCAGGGGGGCCATTAAGCTCCTTAGCAACCATGTGCATGCTGGTGGAACTCCTTCCGCGCCGACACCTTCTACCGCTGGCAGCTCCAACTCCACTGCCACTTTGGTGGCTGCCCCATTCAATCTCGCCAAACTCAAGCGTGAGCTTGACATGTTCAACCTCAAGGGTCTCAATGTGCCCTCCAGCCTTCTCTACGAGGCCGATGTCAACATCATCCTCTCTGCTTCCGACTACCTGCAGATGGAATCCACATGGACCTCCCACGAGTACCAGCCTGTTGATGACAAGATCAAAACCAAGCGCTCTGATAACATCAAGAAAGCTCCAAAGGGATCCAAGGGCATCAATGGCCCCAAATTCATAACTAATAACATTAATGATACTAATCAGTATATTACAGGCAAGGACAGCACCCCGGTTGGTGGCAGTCTCATTGTGGAAATGCGCAAGGACGTTCAGGAGCTTTTATACGATATTGGTGTGCGCACCCGCCTTCCGCAGACCTTTAGTGAGATGCCTCTCTGTGTCCGCTTGTTTGTTCTCCATTTGTACCTGTTGCTGCTACCCTGTTCTCCAGCTATGTGAGAGGAACTGGAAGGTACAGCGCCTCTCGGAGAGTGTCTATGCCAGCATGATCTCCACATACCAGGAACACATAAAGGTGCAGGAGGAGGAGGAAGCACGGAAGGGGATTGAAGAGAAGGAGGCTCGGGCTGCAAAGCGATGCAGGGTGGAGGTATGTGATCTGGTATGCCCATATCTTGCATCATACTGATATTGATAGACTATGGGACTTGCTCTTGATGAGCTCCGTGATGAATCTGTAGTAAATGGTCAACTACTTTATGATCATTGGCTCTTACATACTCTATTTACAGGTTCCTGAAACCCCTTCTCACTGCCCTTCTTCCTCCAATGACCACCCTCAAACCAACTCGACCCCCCAGTGTGTCACGCCCATGCATCTCCGGTCAAACTCCGATCCATGTTCGCTCCTTTGGTACTGTTTCGGTATCTCCGGCGGCTACGGAGTAGATGCGGACACACTCAGGAATTATCAGTCAGCATGTTTTCTTGTGACCAACTCACTCCACATTCTACCTGTCATTACTTTATGCCTGTCATTATTCCGCAGTTACACCTGTCATGTTTTGTATTCTTACAACCTTTGATCATCTTCGGTGATTACTCATGATACTCCACACTTACTCCAGTAGCTATCCGGAGCTTATCCAAAGATCCAGACTTATGATATAAATAGTGGTAGCATTCAACTTGTATTTGATAGTATGTGATTGTGAGAGGAACACAGATGGGATTGACCCATTTGTTGACCTTCTCAACACCAGCCATCAGAAGCTCAAGTCTCAGAGTGTGCCTGCTTTTAATGAGAGGCTTAGACTTATGCAGCAAGGCAGTGAGTGGCAGGAGGATATATACGATCTACCTGCTGTTAATATTTTGTTTACTGTCCCTGAGGAGTAGGAATAGTATACATGTTTTTATTCATTTACTGAGTAGGCCAAAAGCAAATGAACTGTCCATTTGGTGCGGGAGTATAGCTATCAGTCAATGCTGCAATATCTGCAGCCAAATCACAAGCATAAACAACCTCTGCAACCTCTTGACCCCACTTGCAACGCCAATCCATAGTTTCATTCAAAACAGTTGTCACAGAGTTTGCACTCACAAGCAAGGGAAATATGCTTGCTATGTCCTCAATCCCCTCATTGTCTATAATCTTGTCTGGGGCCACTATGGTGCACAGAGGATGTGCTCTCCATGTCTTATCCTGCCAGAGCTGTAGGGCTTGTTTAACTTGCACCCTGCTGTTCCTAGGTTGTTTGGCCTCAGTATCAGCATCAGGCACCGGCTTCCAGGTGTGCAAATGTGAAGTTCTGAGTATATCTCCTGTGAACCATTGCAAATAGTCAATGGGACTAGAAGCATGACAGTTTCAGCACCACTTGTTGGTGCACAGTGTTCCTATCTCAAAATAAGCACTGTATTATGACAAACATAGAATACCCACTCTCTGGTGTGTTGTTGTCAAAGTATGTAGCCAAAAAGTCATGAACACAAAGTGTCTTGCTGTTAATGAGGTGAATCATCACTGCCCCAAGTCTATGCTGTTTGCTAGATTGCTCTGGAAGAGGTGTCCTGAGTGCGGTATCTGGGTTGTCATCAATTTTGTCTGGAGGTACTTTTTCTGCCACCCGAGATTCATAGAAAGTTATGTACAAACCCTCAGTGTGCAATGTGCGAGCAACGCGCCCTCCACGCTGATTCCAGTCTGGAATATTACAGCAGACACCCCACTGAATTACAATTGTAACCCTTGGGTTATCCACACCCTAAATAAAATATTAAAAAATGCATGAACTGTCCAAATAACATCCTCTTACCACAGCGCATGCAGACATTGTGAGTAGTACGCATGTATTGCCATCTGGACAAGCAAAGTCTTTGTAAACTTGACATCTATAGGCCTCAAACATTTCAGAGTGAAACTCACAGATGAGTCCTCAAGCACGTTCCTCCAGGGTTAACTGGCCATGTAGATGGCTAGTCGCCTCAGCAGCCTGATTAATATTGTCAAAGTAAATGAGGATCCTTGCATTGTTGTTGAGGGGGAGGATAAAATTGAGACTTTGATACATTTTTTCATAGAGCCCACAACTGGCCAGAATGTGTATGTCATATTTGACTGATTAGACATGTACTTGATGGTATCCCAGGTCCCCAAGTGCCTAAAATGAAGGACTCCTTCAACAGTCCTCTTGATGTGCCATAGAAGGGTTCTTGAAAGCACCTAGATTGGAGTTGCCTTGGGCATCCAAAGTCGAAGAGCATCACCAACTTGACCAAAGGCCTGTTGAGAAGCAGTGCCCCCATGAAGAGGTAAGCCAGATGTATAGTTAGTGTGTGCTTCATCAACATAGACTTGGGTTATGAGAAAAGCAAAGTTCCAGTGGGTGCTTCTGAGAAGACTTGCAAACTGTGGCATCTGCTTACCACCCTCAAATGGCCCAAATGATTCGGGAGAAATGAGGACAATGGGAAAACCACCTGTATGGACTTTCTGTATGCAGGTACTTAGATTAGCATTAAAAACTGTGAACATCTGCGCATTATATAGGTTCTTACATTCCAGAACTCTTCTGCATGTCTCTCCTCTGGTGTTGAATAGTTAACTGCCACTGTTTCAAGGCCAAACTTGGCAAACTCTTTGATCTATAACAACTTGAGCAACTTATGAGGTATAGATCAACCCATTCTACTGACCTGGTTTGATTGCAGCTGTTTCATTGGCGATATAATCAACAATACCTTTTCTGGTTTAAGAAGGATGGGTAGAAGCATAGCAATAGTTTTTCCTGAGCTGGTAAATGCATTCACAATCAAATTTTGCCTAGAAGCCATTGACTTTAAGCACTCAAGCTGCATCTCCCGGAGAACCATGCAATGTTCAGAAGTAATAAAGAGTAACAAAGAGGCACGGAGAGCATCCTTTAGCTGCTTTCTGTCAAGACTATGTAGGTAATCTTTAAGCAAGTCAAGCCTAGATCCAAGAATTTTGTCTTCAAAGGCAGCAAGAGCGTTAGCTGGGAGATCATAGATGTAGGCTAGCCTCCTGCAAGTTTTTGTCAACAGCAAATCATTTTGCTTTTCTAGTTCCTGCAGATTCCATGCCAGCTTGAGTAAGGATTTGAGATAGAACAAATCAGAGAGGTGTGTCAGAATTCTGGCAGCTACGCAGACTCAGGTAGCACAGCTGACGTGTCTTGCGCATAGGGGTTGATTTCCCTCATTAGATTGCATTGGAATGCAAACTGCCTCAAAAGCCCTATCTAAATCAAGAAGGCAAGGACTCCAGCCAATTCAAACCCAGATTTACAGGACAAGCTAACTGTAATGATGCAGAAAAATACCTTTTGCAGGATGAGGTCACGTTTTATCATGGCATCCGTAGAGTTCCAACATGTTCAAACATCCCTCACTGGCATGAGTTGCCATACTGGGAAGCCATTTTTGAGCGTCATCTCGAGGCCATAGATGCAAATTGAAACCTTGCAAACCTTGGCCCGGCGTGCAGGACTACTAACAATTTTGACAACAATGATCCAGAGCTGCAGGCTTAAATGTCAGACTAAGAGTACGGGGAGAATGTGGAACACCTACCTTTTTGAGTGGGTTTAAATTGGAGTAAGCTGTCTTATTGCCATCTGGTGTTGCTCACTTGGATTGGGGTTGTTGTAGTTGTCTGCTTCTGTTGCCTGCTGGTCTTTGTTTTCTGTGTCAAGGTCAAAGTTCAACAAAAAATGCTTGTTCTCCTCCTCATAGTAGTCATGGGCAGTGGGGTCTTGGTCAACAAGTCTGAGAGTCAAGAGGATCTTTTGGACAACAAGGTTGATAATGTGTGCAGCACAGCAAATTTGACTGTTTTTGGGATGGAAAGGAATCTTGTAGCAGTTTTGAAGCAAGTTGCAAACCACCTCTGCAATGACTTTGTTGGCAGACGCATTGTCCATAGTGATTGAGATTAAGTGCTGGGCAAACCAATGTTAGCCAATACAGTCAACGGGGGAGCATAAAAGAGAAATAAGCTACTCATCTTATTGACACTGCCCATGTTCTGTGTGGCAGACCAGAACACCCTTGCTGATCCCTCCCCTGTATGCTTGTCTGCATTGAGGTGCCAAAAATCAATGATCTATGAGTGAATGATCCATTCTTTGTTAATCCAACTTGCAATTGTAGCAGAGAACAAGAAGATCATCTGCCGGGTAGTCCAAGAGTCATTATTGTATGCAATGCAGGATGTTACACTCTATACCATATGTTAGTCAGAAATAATAAGTGACAGTGAGGAAGACAATCATACCGCAAGCTCTTTTACAATTGCACCATGGAACACTTTGTGAATGCGTGAAATAATGTTACACACAGTTGTGTCGGTGGGGAGAGTGAAGCAGCACTTGATATATTCAAAGAGAATGCAAAGAGAGGCAATCTTGCCTGTTGTGAAGGGATGATGGCTCTCCAAAATATAAGCAGCAAAGTACTGATTAAAGCCCTGCTGGGACAGTGAGTGCAAGGGATTAAGACAGCCTTGTTCGAGCATTTTTGCCAAGATTGCCTGTTGATGCTCAAGTGATTTGTCATCACGAGCACCTACATTGTGCATTTCACCTTCACCATCACTGTTATTACCTGTGTCATGGGTGCGCTTGTGCTGGTGGCCTACCTCACACTCATGCTTGTGCTTGAGGTGAGTTGCTAAGTTGCCAAGTGGTGCATGTTTTTCCTCCTCATTATAGTTTGTAGAGTCTGTCATGCAAGGGATGGTGTGTACCCTGCCCAAGCCGCTGTCAACTGACATGTGTGTATAAGAAGCTCACAATACCACTCACACAGTACAAAGTTTACACTTGAATTCCCACTGCTTTCCTTCCTTCGCGGATGAGATTGCCTTTGGTCCAGTCCAAAACTGCATTGACTCGTTAACTGGACCCCTTGCACCATTATGATGTGTGTTTGCCTCGCACTCTTCAACAGCACGTATTGCCCCTTGTCCATCTGAGCCTTTGTTATTGCTCCCAGCACCTTTTGCAGCTCTGGAAGTTTGTGAGTGTCAGTGCTTGTCCTCAGGTTGACTTAACTAACTTTATCCTTACATCCCTTGCTCGCCTGGGCCACTATCCCGTTGTAGATGCTTTGCTTTCTAATTAAATGTGAGCACTAGTGACCAGCATTTGAATAATATAGTGCTTAACTCACCAATTTCAGGACCTTTGTCTTTTTAATCATGCTTCTTGCACCCTTGACGAGCAGCGCTGATGCATGCTAGCAGCATCTTTTACCACTGTACTTGCAACAGACATCATGCTGGAAGGCGTTGGCATGCCTGATGAGACAGAGATATGATCTACATTGGCTGCACTTTGCCTGCAACACTTGCACTGCAAGTGTGTCTACTCAGGTGAGCACTATTCCCTTACGGATATTGAATGCAGTGCACCTTATCACCACTTCCATTGTTTCCAACCCACTCCCCTTCTGTTTGTGATAGATCTTTGGCAGCATCAGTCTCTGCAGCATTGGTACTCAAGTCATCAATGTCCCAGGCCAATTTGGATGGCTGGTATGTCTTATCCCTTGTTGAACCCCCAGGCAGCCAAAATTCTAATGATTATGTCAATATTGTAAGAATGCAGGTCATATTAGAGGCATTTGTAGATGTGCCTTTGGGCCCGTAAATCTCTTTAGCAAGGTATCCTCCCCCAAAGCTCCAAAGCTCCAAAGCACCTCCTCTCAAGTGGGTACATCTTGAAGTTTGCCCTGGGGCAATCCAGAGGGTGGTAGACCTGGAGAGCTGGCTTTGTTTGATTCCTGGAGGGCTGCATCCGTGGTTTGGGTTGCATTTGAGAGCCCATGGATTGACAGTGTCAGTTGTGACAACAGGTACTACTAGTGTAATACCAAGTCCCAGATATTGAAGGTTCTCCTAAAATGTACAACGGTCTGGTTGTTCAGGGAGAAGTGGCCCTAGTTCAACCAAATGTAGATAGGAGCGATGTGGGAGTGATAGGGAGGATTGATATACAAAGATGGATTGGGGAGTAGTAGCGATGATGAGGGATAATAGTTGAGGATGATGATGAAGTATAGAGAGATGATAGTTACGATGATGATTAGAGATTGATGATGAGCTTAGTGAGTACTGACTTCACACTTGGAAATCAGGGAGGAAGATGTCTCTCCGCACAGTCTAACTACTGGTCTATATACTACTAAGCCTTTGCGCGTACGTGTATAGTAAGGGCTATGCGTATAGTATTTGTAAGTAGGGCTGTGGCACTGAGTAAGAGAACTGAATAATATGAGAACAATTTATAAGAGCCACAAGAACGCTTGGTAAGGACCACAAGAACAAAGTATAGTGAAAAGGAAACAGCGAGGCTGCGCTCGCGCAGCATTCTTAGTAAGTATGAGAACAAAAGACAAAGAAAAGGGAAGTGGACGAGTAAGCAAGGGGAAGTAGTGGTCCATAGTCCAATCAAAACAAAGCAAGTGAATAAGCAAGGGGAATGGCTGATAAATCGAATGACAGATGCGAGAAGAAGATAGTAGAAATAGTAATGCGCTCACAAATCCAACACTGCCTTCCACTCCAAGTGACTCATTAATGACCAAGCCAGTGGTCTTGAGGCTGCGCTCCCCCTGAGGCGCTGACCAAGCACTGAGTAGGGTAGTGGAGGAGAACTACTGCAGTGGCCTATGCTGGAATACCGGTGGCTTGGCAAAGGAGTGTTCATGGTCAATGGCTGATGAGTCGCTGGATGTCCTAGATGCCCCAGACGACGTGACCTCCAGGAATGCTGCTATGAAGTCCTTGCTGGTCTGTGGACTGATGGGGTGGAGGGCATGATAGACGCTGCGCCGCACAAAAGAGAGGTTGCAGAGGTGATAAGGTAAAGCCAGACGAGCAACGCAGTGGAGAGGGCGATGTTCTGTGGAGTAGACGTTGAAGACAATGTAGTCCTGCTCATAGTGGCAAATGGAGTGAACAGGACCTCTAGCAGCCTTAGCTTGTCCTTCGCCAGCAGGAAGAATGATGGTCACAATTGACCCAATGCCGACCTTGAGATGGTCGTTGAAATTTGTATGAGGGTCTGCAACGAGGTAGTCTCTGTTGGCAATGCAGTGAACGAAGGTGGTGCTGGGATACATTTGGGGCTCTGAGAATTGGTGAAGAAGGTCGAAGGAGTGGAAGATACTGTCGCTGATGAGCCACGCAAGGAGGACGCAGTAGAGAAAGACAACAAATGTGACTGAGAAGATGACGGTCACCAGAGTGAAGAGGAATGGGTCATCTATGACTATGCTGAGCATGGTGATGAGAAGAGACTCGGTTGCGCCCTTCTGCTCTCTTGGTTATGAGGTGTATTCTTGTCCTGCGTATCCCTGAGGTGCATTGGCAAACTGTATTAGCGCTCATCTTGAACCATATCGCGGGCCAATCACTATTGGTGCATGATAGCGGTTAGCACGGAGTCATCATAGACAAGGCCAAGATTGGCTCACCATAATGTCTTTAGTTCTTTTTCAAGCTGGTGAAGATGCTGCATCATCCAACCGTGCAGCATCTTATGCTCATAAAACACAGTCTGTAAGTGACTGCAGATGTAATCCATGCAATGGCAACCTCAGACATTCCTCTTCATCTCAATAACCCTCTGACCCATCAAGAAGTTTGCTAAAGCATTGATTGAACATTTTCCAGCCCGTTTTGCACTGAGGTGAGGTCATGACACAGTAGATTTCATCTTTTTTCTCAGCAAGAGGGACAATTTCTGGAAGCCCTTTGTTGAGTTGTGTGACACATTCAATTACAGCTTCACAGGCAGCCTGCTTGTTGTCAGCCTTCCCCATTGTGAGTAGGAAAGGTAGGGAGACATCCACGGAGGAGGACAAAAGGCAAAGCTTGTCTAGCCTGATATCAGTTCAAATGCGAGACTCACTGAGTGAAAGCTCTCTGCATGCCTGATTATCTAAGCCAATGGCATCCCCAGGCCTGCAGAAGGACGGTGGAAGCTCGTGGGTAGCCTCGTCCGCACGTAGCGCGGTGACCTTCCTTTTTGGGATGATTTCTTTGACTGGATTTAGCCCCTATCTTAGCACGTCGGAGACCCTTAGACATAAAGATATGTCCGCAATAGCGCATCTGTAGGGTTGGTAGCTACGACCGGCGCTTATATGACATGGCAATTTGCGATCGATTTGGTCCCGAAATCAATCGTTGCGTCAGTTACAGCCTATAATCACGTGGAACTAAGCCTAAATTTGCCACTGTTGCCAGCAACAACTGGAGTACTAGTGGCACTGACAATGGCCGAGCTTGTTGTAACATCTCATCACCGCAACTTCAACTTACATTGTTCGCTTTCATCGCTGCTCAGATCTGAGTGTCAGAGGTTGTACAAATATGCTCGTCATCATCCTCACTAGGATCATAATGACTGCTGAGAGTCGGGTTTGATTTCTGCAAGCTCAAATGTGGCTTCCATTGTCTTGCATCCTTTTGACCACCGAGATTAGCTTATTGACCCTGCGTGGCCCAAAGTATTATTTAAGATGGTACTTGGAGCACTTCTATACTTTAGTTCATCTCGCAGAACCTGCCCAGCATGAGTAACATCTCAGACTGGGATGGACTCATCAATATCCTCGTCTCCCTGGCAAAAAAGGTTATTAACACCTCACCTGCCTCTGAAATTCTTTGTCTTGAGTCCCAGATCCCTCTATAATCTCGGAAATGGCACGTTCACCCACTTCTTGGGCCAGTACTTCAAACTTAAGCTATGGGCTTGGGATAGGTATGTATCAATGCTTCAGTTACAAACTCGTGTGCTCACCAATCTCCCGATTCACACAGATGGAGCATACTTACAGGAAAGGAGGCTAGAGAAGTTATTACTCCTACTGCGTTCAAGAAGCAGAAGCAGATACATGCATAGACTATCATATTATGTTGTTGTAGGCCTCCGCCACCTGCGGAGATACTGCGGCAATATTAAGCCTGCTTGTCCATATAGCGCGTCAAAACCCCTATCTTATAGCGCGTGAGGGGCCGATTCGAGAAAAATTCCGGACAAGCGTACCTGGGAGCTTCCACCGTCCTCCTGCAGACCATCTCATGCTCATAAGTACAATCTACATTGGCTGATCACAAGCCTCGGATTGCTATAATGTCAAGCCCGTGAGAGACTCTGTCACTCCCTGGTCAGTGACATTAATTACACCACCCTATACAGCTATGATGCATTGAGTATATGTGTCAACACTGTGTCTGCCCAGGGAGAACCAGGATGTTTGAGCTATGCTCCACTAGGGATCCCGTGTCCCGAACACCTATGGATCCCATCAAGTAGTGACGTGTTAGATCCCATGTTCAGGCGTAGTCTACAGAACTTGTACGTTACCACTCCGGGGGTTTTCCCGCCTCCTGCTAAATCTCTGCTAGTGGGAGGGACTTAGATGCAGCGAGAGTGTAGTCCCTCAACCTAGAACTTGTGCCGAGCATGCTGCCATCATTAATAAGCTGTCATAACACCTAATTGGGTGTTTCAGCCACCAAAGGCTCGGCACAGTCTCGGCTCATCCCATACGGGCGATATAGGCCCTAGATGTCAGACACGTCAGACTGCCTGTCAGCCCAAGACAGCTGGACACTGTCCCCAACGTTCCCGACGGCCCCTCTGCTTGTCATCCGCAACAACGAGCTCGTATATCTCCGTGAATACAAGTCCCCAGAGTGCGGGGGTTTTTTTTTGCTAAATGATGTAGCTAGCTATTTAGTAATTCACACAATGGTTTATAAGCATAAAGGATTGAATTGGGTTAGAATTGAAGATGGCGAGGGCAGAGTACATTGAACAATATCTAAGAGACATATATACTGCCCAGCACGTTGAGGAGTCCCTAGTGGGGGTGTCAGAGGTGTTCAGCATCACCTAGACACCAGAGAGGGATAGTTAGTATATGCTCAGATGATAGAAAATTGAGAGCTCACACTTATGGGACTTACTTGACATCAGAGTCGACAAACTTGGTGCTGACGGCGGCATGCTTCTTGCGCGATGCCTTTGCCGACGCCTTTGCCCTTGACTTGTTGGAAACCCGGGCACTGGGGACGCAACACTTCTTAGCACTGCTGCGCTTGCCATCCAGAGTCTCCCAGTGACATTCGTCACTCTTCAACGCATCACGCAGCCGGCGGATGTGGCCCACAGTGCCAATGTTGGAGGGGCGGGTGAAAGGGGCACCCTCGGGCCATCCGACCAGGCACACACTGTAGTTTTGGACCACCTTGTCCTCGTATTTCTTGTAGTTCATGCACACGTTGGGATGGCTGATGGTGCCTGCAATGGTCGTTAGTTTTCGACAGGAATTTTCGGAAGAAAAATAAAATACTTGTGTAAGCCGTCGAGGATGGCCGCCATGTGTAGCTTGCGAACATTTGCTAGGCTGTCGGCATGCTGGGTGCACTGGGCAAGGTCTGTTTGGTGTCAGAACAAAGCCAATTGTCTCGGAAATCATGCACATACTCTCATTCTGAGTGCACGCCCACTGCTCGTATTTCTGGACCACCTCATTGGGGGTGAAACCCAAGCCACCCTGGAAGAAGTTGTCGGAGTTGTTGGTACCATAGATGAAGGGCTCAATGATGTTGTTGATATGGCCGTGCACAACCATTATAGTGCTGTAAATACCTGTGCGAAGCCGAAGGCCGTCAAGCTAAGAAAACAAATGTTATTCTCAACACTTGATGAGAGAGAGATGAGTTCGTACCAGCTCAACAATCTTGCGCTGTGTCTGGATGGTGTCCATGTTGGCTGCGTGGTTCAAGAGGTGTATGGAGGTCTCCTTCTCGTTGCAGTAGTCCTTGAGCGCTTGCATCATGTCCCGCTGCTCATCCGGCGTGTACTTCTTCATTCGGATGATAGCATGCAGCTTGGCAACTTGCTCTTTCCTAGTTAATGTATCTGTGATAAGGTATCAGTAAATGTACCATGGCGTATTAAGTATACAAGATGCCTTACCACTGGTGTTGTCCAACCTGATCCATCTGCTAACTCTCATACTACACCTGCTATCTCAGTAAGCCGGATATTACAAGATCGTGGCCTTTCTGTGTTGTCAACACATCCTAACTTATTTTCAGAGCACCTATTTGAGCGCCCATTTGAGTGCTACTCACCTGTAACAATGATTCTATTCACAGCGGCCCATGTTTGTAGCATCCATCCTACTGGCTGGTGCGTCTTTACCTATGGCGCAATGCGTGCTATTGCACCCAACCTGCTCTACTGTCACACCCAATTTCTTGAGCTGGGTGCAACAGACAGTTTTGTTGCCGAGGTAAGATATTCAAGTCCTTCAGCTTGTTTGGATACTTACAATAGGGGCTTAGGAACACGTGACATCGCTAGCATGGTCACCTCCATGCGTAATTGCGTATCACTGATATATTGCAAGGCAAGTCTTTCGCAAAATTTTCACTTTCATCCTCTCTCGTCTGAACGCCTACCTATCGTTCTTTTCAGCCCACCATGTCTGATCATTGCCTCCCCCCCACAACTTCCCTAATCCTGGCCAGTGGCAGCATGTCAGTGGTCAGCAAGGCTATGCCCGATACCCAGGCGAGTTCAGCGACCTTGTTGCATCCATCCAACTGCCCGCAGCAGTACAGGACAACATCACCATGCCACCGCTGGTGGACTGTACATCTCGCGTAGGCCACCGCAACCGGCTCAATGAGCCTATGCAGCCCAACGTGTCCTTGGGGGCGTTTTTGCCGTCCCCAGAGGACCCGCTCGCCAGCTTGTCAGCTGAGCCCGACTAAAATCTCTTCAACGCCGTGCTGGACGCCTGTGACTGGGCATTTACCCCCGACTAAGAGAACACCTTCAAAGTCGAGCCTGAGCCTGAGGACGAGGACGAGAACAAGGACAAGGAGGCTGACCTCCTCGAGCCACCTTCACATTCAACCTGGGCCGAATGCAATCCTTCAAACCCGATCATTCCAATGCGCCCCACACGCCCCCTCCCAACAGCTCAGCAAGCTGCCAAGTGTTCTATTGTGCGTCTTCAGAAACAAGAACGCGATGCCGCCATTCTTGCTGATGTGAAGTCTATCATCCCGATGAACGCCGACATTCAATGCATTGCCACCAAGCACAACATCAACAAGAAGAAGGTTCAGGGCATGGTGAACTCTCACATGCATTCGAAGGGGAAGTGGGCGGTTCAGCTCTACAATGCCACCATGCACCATGAGAAGATCCGGGTGCTCTGAGAGTCAATGCAGCCAGTGCACAAGAGGAGGAAAAAGAGGAGGAAAGTCTTGGGCATGACATCAGTTTCAAATGCCTTGACGTGATGCTCAGCCCTGCTTACCCTGAGTTGGGCTCTTCCGGCCATGGACCAGAGTCTGTCTTCCAAGACAGACATATGAGCTGTGGATATCAAGAATATAAGGAAAATATTACAATTTAATACACTCATGGAAGACAGAGCCAGCGACAATGAGAGGAAGGGTGGGGCATGCAACTACCACCCACCATGAGGTCTCCTAAGGTATTGGATAAATAACGAGTGAGTTCGTGCTCTTGTTGCCCTCATCGCATTCTCCCTCGTTGCACTGAGGGGGTGACCAGCCTGCTGGCTGCAGTTTGACAGGTGACAGACGGAAGCAAAACTGCTGCAATGTGGCAAGAGTGGGAGGCAGCGGTGATGACTTAGCTTCCTCGCTGGGAACTGGAGTGCAGTTTTTGGGTGTTCTCGCGATAGGGGCATCAAGGTTTGCATCAAGTGCTCTGCTCATCAGTAAGTCCAAACACCTAGCTGCCTTATCATAGCTTGCCTTCCCTTAACATTCGCTCACAGTCAAACTCAACGCACTGTACTTTTCTCAAAAAGGTATGTGTCTGCCAACATTTGGTAATTTTTTCATTAGATTATTGATTATCCTTTGTGCAGATCATGGGCCGAAAACCGTCTCCCCCTCTCCAATGCCGAACATCAGCGCTGAGCTGATCAGAAGTATAAGGAGAAGCCCAAGTACGTTTCGTAAAACACCGCTGCACATGATCATGTTGCTCATATGGATGTAGCGTCCAAGAGGCAATTAGGGAGAAAGCGAGGCTGCGAACAGCAAGGTGAGAGAGCTCGAAGCCTCACGCGTACTTTGAACTGATGTCAAAATACAGGAATCTAGCTAAGTAAGTGCATCATTATTCTGACCCGCACGAGGGTCTGACAAGACATCCGTAGACACAAGGAACTAGTAGCACAACCATCTGCCCAAGAATACGCTGCCCATCTAGAGGCCTCCAATCCCATTACGACCCGTTCCTTGCATACTAACGCAGCTGACATTGTCGACTTCGACACATTCCTGCGCGCTTTCCACGCTTGGACATACAACTGGGGCCCGGCTGAAACTTGGCTTCGGAAGCAGTGGATATTGATAAGTCACACCCTTGGCCAGGGTGTTGCAGCTGCTGACAAGCTGAAGCGTGATTTCACAGCCCACACACAAGAAGGCTGGGCTATCATGGATGCCTTGAGGCACATTGTAGATACTGAGGTACAATTTTTCGATGCACATGTTTTTGATACTATTGTAGCACTTGTCACGGATGCGTGATTCTTTGAGCACAAGGACTCTCACCACATTTTGATGGAAAGCAAACTTCAATAATAATAATATCTACTTCTCTATACTACAACTCAAATACATGAATAGTAGCAAGATTTCCAAAGTGTACGGGTTGCCCGAGCATATGGGCAATCTATTGTGAATCCATAGTGAACTTAGGGTTCATAGTGATCCCCGCGATTTGATAGTGAACCTATTGTGAATCTATAGCAAACTGGGATTTGACAAGCAGCATATATGGCCTCTACATTGTATCGCACTTGCGACGGGTGCTCTAATTAAATGCAAATGCAAATGAAAGTATGTAGTGTACGTCCTGTTTGATTTTGGAGAGCATAACATGATCCAATGTGTTATGATTACTCGACCTCTCAAACCAGCGGTAAACTGTTGTGCTACTCCTGTGACGCGGCAACAGCAATGGTCACTTTGAGTTAATGAGGGCAGCCTCACTCATGGTGCACTACTTCTATTTCTTCGACGGAATCATTGAAAGTCTGATACTCTCCATGTCAGAGGGGAAATAGCGAGCATGCTTGATTGGTATTCATAACATCTAATGTTACTAAAATTACAGCTACTCTACTTGCTCCCAGTACGCTCATTCAGTGGTGGACATTTTGTCCGTGGCGAGGGCCCCCCCTCACTGATTCCTCTCTGGTCAAAAGCAAGAGCCTCTCTTGTAGATAGCGTAAATGTCCCCCCTTTCATACGCCGCGGTGTACTCCAGCATGGCGTGGCCTTCGTCGCGGAATTTCTTGTGGCAAGCTCCTGAGACGTGCTTAACGCGAACCCATGCTTCAGGCCTGAGAAATCAGTAAAAGACTGCAATGTGAGCAGATAGGTGTACTTACCACGTGTAGAACATACCTGTTTCCAAGCCCTGGAACACCACATAAAAGCAGCGAGGGGGCCTTCATCCAAGCGGCAGAGGTACGAGGTGGGGCGGGGTCACATTGGGAGGATGTTGGTCCCACTGGGCACGGTGCTCTACCCAGTGACGGACCATTTCATCTCGTGTAGGGGAGTGACCGTGGCTCTGCTCATTGCTTGTAGCACGTCAGCGTGGTATCCCAAAAATCTACGTCTGACCAACGTACTCGGGCAAATCTGCGTGAACCGTTACGGGTGAGGAGGGGGCTGGAGAAGGTGGGATTGGGGCAGGGGCGGGAGCTGGGGTGGGAGCCGGAGCTGCACGAGAAGCCGGTCAGACGGAAGACAATGTGCGCAATGCTGAGGAGGGGACAGAGCTTTGACCTGAGTGCTGGGATGCGGACACCCAATCCCCACAATGAGAGATGCGGGCGCTGCTCCTTGTCAGAATTACGTCTAGTATTCGACCTTTTACGGCTTTATTGGTTCATCCAGAAGCCTCCTGTACGGCGATGTTCCTCTATGAGGTCTACAAGTAAACACCGCCTTCATATGTCTACACAGGCGCTAGGTATCTCCAGTAGGTAGTATTAGCGCCTTACGCATTCATGCATTCGTGTGGCTCCACGTCCATCGCACTGAGCCACGTACATAGCTTACGTAGCCATCCTGCATTACCGTGGGACTCGGACTATATAGCATTACAAATATGGTAGTGACTTCACACGCTCCTGTCATATATATACAGTCGCTACCACGAATATCATCTATAGTGTCTTTCTACCCCAAACGACTATCATCGTCAACCAACCAGCCTAACCGCTACTAACTCAGTCTTCAACTAACTGCCCGGTGAGTCTGCGCTGTTATAGACTTCTATGCTATACTCGTGTTCGATCTTCGACACTCCTTGCAGTCGATGCTGGTGCACGGTGGGGAGGGGAGTTGTCGATTTCCACCACCTTAGTCACCATTTTGGTTGTGGTTGTGGTGGTTGTAGTGGTGATGTGCATGGTGTAAGGGAAGTTGGAATGCAGGCGAGGGTATCGATGTTCAATGTTCATCCGACGTTGCGTCACGTGATCACCCGGCCGCTGTACATTTGCGTTGAAGTCCTTGTGCGTATTTGCGCGTATCTGCATCATGGCCAATAGCAAAACCCAAGGTAAACAAAAGAAAACAACCAGAAGGAAGATACATACCATCACTCCATCGTGAGACAAGGATGGAGTCAAGATTCCAGTAGTTCATCAGCATCTTAACGCGCAGAAGATGCATTTGAACTTTGTGCAGCAGCAGGAGGTGAGATTATGAAGTAAGTGCTATGGATGTTCTGATTCAACAAGACCACTTACATTTGCTGTTAGTGATGACTGAGCAGCAGCGTGAACTCGAGAGGCGGAATCTTGAGCTGCTAAGGGAGATGGGGGGATCTGACGAGGAAGACAAGCTCAAACAGCAGTTCAGTGCTGCAGACGTCTTTGACGGCACGCAGGAGTTACCTGTCAGTCATGCAGGAGGCGAGCTGGAGATGCTCATGTCTGCTTATGGGTATACAAGGTCAGTGAAAATACTTGAGCTAGGCGTTGATCAACACTTACTTTGTCATAGGAAACCAAAGGATACACAATCACGGTGAACGCGAACAGTGAGGCACGAGGATGGATTCCTCCGCCAGCTAGATCAGCTCGCGGATGAGTACATGAAGTGGGAATGGGAAAGCAACCGACCAGTGTCCATGTGCAAGTTGTCAATGTCCGACGCAGACGTGGAAATGCTGGTCGAAAGCGCAAAGAAGCTATCTCTGGTTGACATCTTCGGTGAGAATTTCTGTATTATTTTTAAACATAGGTGCTCATGTGTGCACAGCCGTGCGAACATCTACAGTGAGCTCCCCCTTTAATCTGCTGTTGGTTCCTGTCCTTGTGAGGCAGGGGTTCATCTTCTGCTTGCCCAACTCTCCCTCAACTGTGTTCACGGTCCAATCACTGCGGGCATATCATGTGCTGAAGATGCGGACACCTCAGGTGTCCACACAGAGCTACGTGAGGTCCCTCTGTGATTTGCACAGGGTGGGCGCGTCTTTGTATTTCTGGCTGTATAGCACTAATTTAATCTATACCTGCAGGTTGTGTTCAACACCCACCTGGCTCGTCAGTTTGTCCAGGTGTTCAACATGTATATTCAAATCAAGCACAAGGTGGCAGGCTTTGTTCGGGAGGCCCTGCGATGTGACATGCCGGACTGGCACTTGGCGCATGTTTGTCCCTGCTGCATGTATCACCTTACTGATGAACCTGAGCTCAAGTACTCAATGTTTTATACAATGGACGGGAACGACTCTCTCAAATGCGCATATAAATGCTTGCAAGACATATCTGAGGGGGCAGGGGCATCATCCAAGTTGCCGTCACTGCTCAAGGTCCCTCCAGACAGATATCTCAATTGTGAGACAGTCAACAAGTGGGCAAACAACTGGCTAGATGCTCTCATCAGCGACGAGGTACGAGTCAGCATGTTTTACTATTATTATGGCGCTCTAATGAATACGTAGGGAATGGAAGACAATCCATGCGCTGGGCGCTGGAAGAATATGAAGGACAATATTGCAAAGAAGATGTGGGCTGTATTCAACGAGACTGGTATCTTCCTCGCTGTCTGTAGACACGGCTTCTTGCTTCTTGTTGCCGACATGGTGAGGAGCAGAGAACTCTAAGTCTGATTAAAACTACCACAAACATCTCTAATGGCTGGCTAGGGCTAAATACCCACTGGCCGTTGTCGAGCAGCTCCTCAAAACATTTGGCAAGAACTTGGGTGGGGGGTTTGATATTGGATGCAAGTTCAAGACTACACTAGCCAAGTCTCAACTCGGAGTTCTCACCCAAGAACTCAATCACACATGTCTTGTGGGCGCATTTCACGGTCACGCCCACTGACGCCTATGCCAGCTCGATCATCTCACCATGTACTGCGAGGGCGTTGGCCTTGAGGATTTTGACATGTGTGAATGAAAGTTCTTGTGCTCGAACACCCTCACCGCCTCTATTCAACATGCAAGCATTTTCCACCGGCAGCTGTTCATTGACCTTTATCTGGAGTACACGGACGAATTCGACGTCTATACTAATTTATGTAAGTCTTTCATTGGCCACTGCATTCTTTTATTCACTCCCTGTGCCAGCGACGTTTTTGTATAATAATTACAAACAAGCCCTCAGCTTCTCGCAGATGGTGTTCCTCAGCTGGCTGTCACGATGGCCCACCTCAAGATCAGCAATACAAACATTTTTGCTGTGTGGCTGAAAGAGGAAACCGATTACCTCAAGGCTCTGAGGATGGAGCCAATTGAAGAGACTCTGCAGATGGAGTATTGGGAACGGCTAGGGGCTCTCGAACGCGCTGAGTAAGTACTTTTGGCTTATCTTACTACTATGTTCTGAGTTTATGACAGGAAAACCCTTGTTGATGTTCCCGTGTTCATATCCACTGCCAATGCCTTGGCGACGGCCGGAACGAGCGGTCCAAATGAGGCCCGTTTGGCTGCAATTTGTCGCTGACACGCTCGAGAAAAAATCACACGGGAGTCGGAGGCCGTTGCTGAGCTGGAGCGTCAGCTCGGTATCATCAAGCGGTGGACATCAGATTGTGCAGAGTGGATGGAGGCCGGGCGACTTGTGGCCAAGCACAGCTATCAGCGTGCACTCGACAAGCTCGAGGGCCTCATCGTGGCCCGTATCTTCGAGATGGCAGACATAGATAAGCCGGGGAAAGGTGCGTCATAGTCTCGCATGGAAACATGACTTCTGATACAAAGTTCTTCAGGTTATGCCTTATGAAAACATATCGCCAAGGCATTAAAGACCCAATTGGCGGCCATCCACACTGCCCTCAACCAGTACAACAAGGCAGCCCAGGCAATGAACCCCCCCCCCC